ACTTGTTACAGTACCAAGACCAAAGCTTCTGAAAGAATTAAGACACCCAACTCAGATAAGTTCCAATGCTGTAAGAGGTTGGTGTGCAAGTTCCTTTAAGAAAAAACACAACAAAAAAAACCACAATAAACTTGCAGCTTTTTTCCTAGTCTCTAGATTGCATGAAAGGTATTAGCTCAGTGATTCTCCTCCGTGTCACTGATGAATTCTTCCCCTGACCAACAAAAAGGCATTCTTTCTTCATGCAACTCATTCCTAGTAAACTACCCAAAAATGAAAAAAATAATCAAGAAACCAAAAATGGTACTGTATAAAAAGCATTTTACTTCTAAATTATGCTTCTAAATCACTATTTTATCTTCTTTTATAGTCTTTTCCTAGTTAAGCTTGTCATGTTTCAAAGTTACAGATTTTATTTAGCATGCCATTATGCAAAAAATACTTAAGTATAGAACCTTACTAAAACTCTCTCTTAGAACACAACCATATTAAAATATGAGTGTTCATAATAACCTTTTATATTCACAAGCAGCACCTCATATCACCGACACTTAAATGTAAAATGTTGAAGTGCTTCAGCCAGGCTACATTCCTCTACCAGGAACTGTAGTGTGAAGACAAAAGGACTTACTGTCTTTAAATGTGTAATTGAATTGAGATCCTTCCCCCTGGAAACTATTCAGAAATGTTAGCTTATGTCTAAAAATAAATATTAAAACCACTCTTTCAAAATATGAATTAAAAAAAAAAAAATTGCTTAATTACTTGTTTAGGACAAATTATCAGACTTGTTTATTCCATTATTATTTAGCCTTGAATTCTGGAAACATTAAGACATAAACCCCATGAAAGCTCATGGAATTATTCACAGAACGACTTTACTGTTTGGTGAAATAATCTGGAATTTCAACTCAAATAAGACATTCCCAGCTACAGCTTTTCAGTTCACCCTAGAAAGGAACCCAAGCCTGAAGCAGCACACATTTTCAAACACACCTGACACACACACCCCCCTGAGCTGCTCCGCCCCAACGCGCCTAAGTGGCCACATTCCTCCTGCAGAGACAGCCTTTGGGAAGCTGCAGTCATTAAAGTCTGACCCGCCTCCCCACAGAAATCAGGAGCAGAACTCCCCTGCTTGATCCAGTACAGCTGGTCCAAGCCTCCTGGACACAGAAGTGGAAGATACACCCAGACTACAAGAGAGGAATAACTGCAATGATTAACTTAAAATACCATGCTGTCAGCAGGCTCCACACTTCTAACAGATACTGGGGAAAAAAAGGATGTATCTGCAGTAAAAACAGAAATATTCACTGCAAATAGAGATGGAGTTGGGAACAAAAGCATAGATATTGGTATATAGCCTAGTGTTACCAATATTTATACAGAAAACAATAACCTCCTAATCAAGGAGCACCATCACCATCAAGAAGGGCAAAGAAGGGCAAAGACAACACAAAACAGTTGAGAGAAAAAGCAACCAGCCATACAACATTCCAAGCAGAGAATTAACCTCTCTTGAGGGAAAGCTGTTTAATACAACAGAAAGCTACAAAAGTAACATCAGAAAAGCAAAAATAAGTTAAGGAAGTAGACAGCTTCAAAGGACTGACTTGACAATGAAAGCATCAGTGTTACACTTGCATTATACAAAGACAACATGGGGATGAAATAAAAAAAGAAAGAGGTCAAATAAGGGAAAAAATGCCCCAAACCAAAAGCTATAAAGCAGTGCTGGTGAAGCACTGGCACCGACACAGCTGATCAGCACGACAGGAGCAAACTACCATGTTTCCTAGTTTCTGGCTCTGTACTTCCCCACTGCTGACCTATGTTACCTTTATATTTCTCACCTGCTTCTACCTCCCTAACCACTCTCACCTGTAGGGTAATCTGGCTATTTCGCTTCCTGTTCACTTTCCTGCAGAGTTAAACTAAAAAAATAAAATTAAAATCTACTACTTTGTGACAAAAACACACACACATTTCTTGACCTTGGTTAATGCCAGATGAATGAGGAGATGCCACATTTTTACATTCATTTATACAAGTTTTACAATTTTCCAGGTAATTTCATGTATGCCCCAAGAAGTTCTAATCTTAAACTTTATCTACAACATCTCTGCCAAACAGCAAAGACTAATGCTGCTACTTTTGGTACTAGCAGATTCACTTCAGCTCTAACCCTTTTTTCTGAGTTACAGCCTCATCATATACTAATTAATTCAAAAATTCAACTGCATATTGCCTAGAACAAATTAACATCACCTTCAGTGAAAAGTGTTATTCAAAAACAGAAAGAAATCAAACCACCCATCTCTTGAAGTAATGTCCATTGCCCACTCAAAAGTAAAAACAAATATTCCCAGGAAAGAGGCACAAGCTTTGCTGCTGAGCTTACTGACCTTATTTCAGTTCACCAAAATGCCAGTGCAAAAACCCTGTGTGCAAAGGAGTTCTTCAGAACCAGAAGATTCTTGTGTCCCTCGCTTTTCCACCAGAACACTGCAACAAAGGCAGTGAAGGACCCACCCATTCCTGGCACACCACTCTTTGGAAAAATCACACCAGCAGTCACAGGAAAGAAAAAAACCACAAAAAACAAGAGAGAAGAAAGAGAATGTTTTTAAACAAAAAAGGAAGAAATCTGCAAGTTATCGTACACTTTTGAGACAGAAAAGCTGGATCCCCTTCAGAAATCAGTTACCCAGACTTAATTCCTTCTTCTCAACAACTTACAGGAATTTAAGTACCTTTCCCTCCTCCTCCCATGTGGAAGGATCAAGGGGTTCACACTGAACCCCTCGGAAAAAACACAGCATGTTTTGTCTTCATTGAGCTCTAAAGTACCCAATGAAGTTTTCAAACCTTGTGCCAAATACCAGAGTGCACAAGTGGGCAAAAGAAAGCATGTGGAAAGAGAATGAGACATGCACATAAACAAAGGAAAAAACAAGTGTAGTTTAGAGAAGGTGGGGAGGACAAGTATAAAAAACCAAACAGTTATGCACTGACACACAGAAGCAGAACAGGAAAAAGAAGAGAAAAAGGGAAACAACAACACAAAAATCTCTGCCATTTTAAACATAAGATGCATATATTTTACTTTGTTTAAGCCAGTACAGGCCAAATACACCTTCCGGTCATGGGGATTCCACTGTTCCATTAACATTTCCACCACCAGAAACTAAAATACATCACTAAACATTTTAAAGTATCATTCATAAGATAGCAACATGCACAACTATTCTATCTGCAAATCTTAAACAAAGCTTACTTATAAAAAAAAAAACACAACACAACAACTTTTGTCTTACGGCTAGTGAGATACAAGAGAAGTCAACCAACCCTGAAGAAGTGACTTGAAACTGTTTCTTACAGACTGGTTCTCAAACAGAACCTACCACTAACACAACCGCGTACCTGCGGTTTGTTGCAAACTGTTTCGGTCAGAAATCACAGATTTTTGCTTCCATTAAAGCCCAGACAACCCTAACCCACCAGGCGCCCGCTGCTAACGTGAGACACCGCGGGGCTCTGGCCAGCGCCGCAGCACAGGCGGGAGCACCGGGGAGGACGAACCGTCCCAGGGGCTCCCCGGCCCCGCAGGGACCCAGCCCGGCGGCACCTCCCACGGACCGCGCTCCCGGGCCCCCCGCTCCGGGAGGGGCCGTGCGGGACCAGGGGCTCCGGACCGGCAGCAGCGGCCCCGCAG